CGTTGATGAGTTCGAAAAATATTTGTATAGTTTCAAGAAGATCCGATATTTTCCTTAGTGAAAATGTAGTGTTATCAATTCTGTAATAAACCATGAATATCTGTATGTTTCCAAGAAAATCCGATATTTTCTTTAATGAAAAGGTAGCGTTATCGATTTCGTATAAAACCATGAATGTTCGTTACTGAAAACTGTAATGATATGCGAAAATACTACCTCATGTGACTAGCTAAAACTAATCATGAAGTGCAAGTATTTTTGTATGTGAAACCATTGCATAATCTGTTCTGTTTGAAAAACCCTGGCTTTAGCCAGTATACGTAGTGTGTATCAGTTCTATTTAGCAAAAATAGAACTGTTGAAGAGTGGTAAGTTGTAAACTAAAGGTGATTTATACATATTGTGAGTCGTATAACCATGCTTGATATGACTAGAGACCTTTCCAACGTTCTTCAGGCGTCGAGTTAAATGACATTTGTACATCTCAGGCGTGCCCGCCTAACTGTAGCTAGCAGTCCAGATGTGGGATTGTCAGTCCCGAATAGATCTATTCACAAATCTCACGCTCTCCCTCCAGGAGACTCTGGTTATACAGTGGTAGGATTTATCCCTGTACACCTAAGGGTACAGTAGTGAAGTAGCGCCTCACAGTATCGTACAATCTAGTTTACATGTAGTGTAGTAGCGTTCTACAATAGTGAAAATCCGTATGTATACCGTATATAGTGATAATTTCAGTTATGAATACCATGATAAAGTAGTGATGTAAATTGTAAACGGTTTCTGTTTCAGCACATATGTTTAGTAGTGAAAGTTTCTATACTTAATATGTTTTAGAAAAATCCCAAACTATACCTATTATAGTTTGCATGTATAATGTAGTGAATAGCGAATCCGAAAAACTATGCAATTTTAGTGAAAACGTCCCTTATGCTCAACACAGTACAAAAGGGTTAAAGTATGAGAATTTCATGAGTTTTGAAAACATTTATGTTTAGCTTGTATTTCCCCCCTGAAAACATTAAAAATACGGAAAATGTAGGGGTATGAACTCACAGTTCTTGTTGTGAAATCGTTGACTGAAATGAAGATCCTTGAGTTGTTGCACGTGACACTTAACGAAATCCTGTTATCAAATAAATACATATATGTATCTACATTAGCGATTTCGATAGATAAAGTGTCATAAGAACACTTGTATTCGGTTGAGGAATGTTACCGGGACTTGATCGAATCAAAGAGAGTGAGTTTTCAGTCAAAAGCACCACCAAAAAGGTGTTTACGGTCGAAGAGGGGTTTACGGTTCCTGAAGGCTCGGTGAGTTTACGGCCGTAAACTCAAGAACAGAGTTTACGGTTCTTGAAGGCTCGGACCGTAAACTCAAGAACATAGTTTACGGTTCTTGAAGGCTCGGACCGTAAACTCAAGAAAAATGGTTATGATTGCTGATTTTGATGAGATAATCGTTTCCAGGCGTTCCCTAGTGACTCAAACGTGTTTTGATGATTTCCGAAGTTTGAAGGCGTTTTGAGTGTTTACGGTTAAGGTTCTTAGAGAGAGAAGGAGAGAGTTTTTGGCCATAAATGTTATAATGAAGGTGGAGGCATCGTACTTATAGGAGTGAGGTGGGGGGGGGGGTCCACTCGTTACTGACCGTAAACAAGTTTACGGTCGTAAACGAGTTTACGGTCGTAATCCTCACTTAGACCGGAAATGTTGATTTTTCGAAATAAACGGGTTTCCGTGCGATTTTGGCTCCGACTCGTAAATAATTTAATTAAATATAACTAGATTATTTTCTAAACCAAAAGTTTGACGGAAAAGTTAACGAATTTGAAATTTTATTAACGGAAATCACGAAACGGAAACGGGAAAAGTTTCGGGTTGTCACAGAGCGATATTTAGCCTTAGTGATCTAAACGGAAGTCGTAGAATAAGTTAAACCGAGAGCGTGCATAAGAAGAACGTCTAAATCGGACTTCGTATGAAGAAGTTATGATTTTCGAAGTTTCGACTTAGCAGTGTGCAGCCCAAATCTCGAAATAAAGATCGAGTGATATTTGGCCGAAACAATCTAAACAAGAATCGAAGATCTCGTCGATAGTAGTCCAACAGTTAAAAGATAGACGGAAACGGATGTCGGATGAAGGAGTTATGAATTTTTAACGAACATTTCGTGTCCCGACCTACTAAATATAATATAATAAAAATAAAGTCAAAATTAGCCGATGGAGTCTAAACGAAAGTTGTAGAGAATAGTCTCACCTACGCGTGTATATAAAGAACGTCGAAAACGGAGTTCGTATGAAGAAGATATGAATTTCTGAAGTTTTTAAATAATTAAAATATATTTATTTATTAAAAATCGGATAATACCAAACCGTGACTCATCCGGCCCTATCCACCCGGTACGCCCAACGTACCTAGATGTACGCCCAGCGTACATGTCGACGGAGGATTACGCCCAATGTAATTTTGGTTACGCCCAGCGTAACTCGAGGTTTCAGCCCCTATAAATAGAAGTCGAAGACAGCCGAGTTCTTTGCTCATTTTATTTCCTTCTCTCTCGTTTTTGCATAGTTTTACGTGCAAGAAATATCCCGAAGCCCCGATATTAATCCCGAGACCCGAAGCAAGTCCCGAAGTCCCAAGGATCCCAAGAAGTAAAGTTTCCGAGCCGAAACTCTGCCCGCGTAAAGCCCGGTTTTGGAGAAAACGTCCCGGTTTTATCGGAAAAGATTATTTTAAGAGACGAGGTGCTGTTCGATCATCGTCTTATCAAGTGAGTGTATAGTTACTTTCTTTTAACACATAAATATAAAGTGTTAGCTATGAAATACGTGTTATGTGTTATATATTATTTGTCTATTTGAGACGGGCTTGGAATTGATGTTTTTATATGGGTGTTAAATGATTTAAACTGTGTTTGTATTATATCTACAAAAATGTGGGTAGAACATGGGTAGATGGAATAGTTGGTGACGATGCGACTTCGTGCCTATTGAGTAAGCCTTGGTGACGATGTGACTTCGTGCCTATTGAGTAAGCCTTGGTGACTATGTGACTTCGTACCTATTAAGTAAGCCTTGGTGACGATGCGACTTCGTGCCTATTGAGTAAGACTTGGTGACGATGTGACTTCGTGCCTATTGAGTAAGCCTTGGTGACGATGTGACTTCGTACCTATTAAGTAAGCCTTGGTGACGATGCGACTTCGTGCCTATTGAGTAAGCTTTGGCGACGAAGCGACTTCGTGCCTATTTGATAAACCTTGGTGACGATGTGACTTCGTGCCTGTTGAGTAAACCTTGGTGACTATGGAGTTAGCGCCAGATAGCTATGGATTTAGTATCTGATAGATAAACTTTGGCAGCAATGGACTTCGTGCCAATTCCTTAGGTAAATCCTTAGAATGAATGAATGAAGGATAATTGGTTCTTAGGGTAAACCCTTAAGAAATAAGGAGATATGGGGATGGGTAATTGGGTTGATTGTTTGATGATTGAATATAAAATAAATATATTTATTGTGGGTTGAAACCCTATATGCTCACCAGGCTCCCAAGCTGACCCACTCAGTTTTATTTGCATTACAGGTAATGGCACAAGGGTTATAGTTGGTGGACTTGATGAAGATTTGGATTATAGATCAGTAGTTATAAATAATTGTTGTAAGGTCTATTTTATATTGTTTATGTTTTTGGTCTGTAACGGAACATGACATCCCGAGGTTTTATTATTTAATGAAAATACATTCTCTTTGAGAAATGATTTGATAAATTCTTATCATATTTTGTTTTGGGAACAAATTCCGCAATTCTTTTAATCAAAGGATTACTCTGATTTTATAAAACAAAGCATAAACAAATCGGTCTTTTCTGGCCGTGAAAATGGGGATGTCACAATAGACCACAAGGTCATAGATATGGACTGTAGGGACTAAAAGATCACGTAAAGCTTTAAGCTTTATCCACATGCATGGCCATTTGGAGCTAGAAAGGCCAAAATAGAAGCTTAGAGGTTGCATGGGACTTCCATGGCCATAAAGTTGGCACCTTTACGCCATGAGAGCCCCTCTAGACACTAGATATGAAGTGTTTGCCCAAATGGGGCGTCCAAATCCCATCAACCATCATACTTGGACCAAAACAAGCAAAAAGGTGCTAAAAAGGAGATCTAATCAAATATTAGGCAAGTTTGAGACTTGATTACCAGAAAGTGGCGAAAATAGAGTGAGGTTTCTGGATCTAGCTGCTCTTCCTTGTTCCTCTAAGATTTTCCTTTCTTCCAATGGCTTCAAACACTCACAAAGTACTCAAATTAGCTTACAATCACTCAAAAATGCATTAGGGTTTCGAAGTTATGGTTTGGGGCAGTGGAGGCTGGAAATGAGGCTAACTTATTGGGTTTAAGTCATTTAAATAGGGTGCAAAGTCCCAAAATTAGGGTTTCCCAAACCCCGTTCAACTCGTCGAGTTGGTCCCCTCCAACTCGTCGAGTTGGTCTTCCAAAAACACGCTTGACAAGTTTCCAACACGTTGAGTTCTCCCCCTTGGACTCGACGAGTTGGCTTTCTAATTAAATATTTTCCTTTCCTTAGTCGGCCATCTAGATACAGGGTGTTACAATATTATGGCATAATATACACATAACATGTCACACATTTTGTTTATATGATTCATAACATATTTATTTGCATTTTATCATAACTCTTAGGTAAATATAACCCAAAATGATCATAATAACATTGCAAGAACTCATTTAATTACGCAATATGATATGAACACTAAATAACATCAAACTTTCATATTTAGAAAAATAAGTATGTATCTTCCCGTAAAATCAATAAAAACATAAAATAAGGCCATAAAGACGCACCTTTGATGCGTGATCTTGATCTAGGCTCAAGATTTTTTTTGTTTTCGTGAGAAACCGCTATCAAACACCAAAGAAGACCCGAGACTGTTTTAGCTTTTGAAAACCAACGATAATGAGAGGAAAATGGTTGATCAACTTCAAAAAAGGAAAGGAAAGGAACCACGAAGACAACCAAGGAGGCTGTCTTCGATAGAGGGTGGCGAGGGGTTGCTCCGGTAGCTTCCTTATTGTTCCTTCTTTTCTGTTTTGATAGGAAACAACAAGGGAGAAAGGGGTCAGGAAGAAACAACGATCCAGGGGGGTGTTTAGTTGGTTTAATCGACAGGAAGGAGGGGACAAGAGGATGCTGCCTCTTGTTGATTATCGAGAAAATAACACCTCATGTGGAGGTGTTCTTGGTTGTCTACGAAGTAGAAAAAGAATAGAGAAATGGAGAGGGTTTGAGTGTGATTTGAGACTACTCAGTTGTGAATGAAAACTTAAATGTGGCTGGACATTTATGCTCGATTATGAGTATACTTTGATTGAGATTTAAAAGCAATTTCATTACCTTTTCATCATGCATGTACTAAGTCTATTTCATGGGTGTAAGATGGTGTGAGAGAGGTTAGAAGAAAAACATGGGGAAAGAAGAGAAAGAGTGTATGAAGCTCTTTTACCTGATGGATAGGCTTTTTAAAGTCAAATAAACTAGTACCTTGAGTGAGAATTGGAAGCAAAAGTCGTAATCTTTCAGTTACGAGTGTACTTTTGAGAGAGGGTGAGAGAGAGTAGAAGAAAACTTGGGGGAGGAAAGGAGAGCATGGTTGCATGGATTTTAGTTGGTCATTTGATTCAAGTGCATGTCCTAATAGTACAACAAAAGGTGATGTCACACTTGTGACATCAAAAATGCCTTAAAATAGCTTTCTCGATTCGCATGCCCAATTCCCGACACCTAATAATTTTTTATGAATGTGACAAATGATAGTCTCGAGTTCAAGGATTCTAAAAACTCAGACGGATCCTAAATCTAATATGTAGAACTTGGGGAAAGGTCGTTTAGAGTTTCACGTTTAGTTCGTACCGATTCGAAAGTTTTCTCAACTTTGATAAATTTACGGGTTAAAAATATTGTGATTATGAAATCAAATATTAGACCTATGTATGATTTCAAAAATGTTCTCGAAATTTCAATATGAGATGTGTAAGTACATCAACGGATCAATTCAGTTTTCGTTTATCAAGAAAACCAGTATTATACCTGATTTGGTTTCTTAAAATGGATGTAACTTTTGCACATGACCTCCATTTTTGATGTTTTTTATATCCTCAAAGTTCTAAGAGTATAATCTATCCAATTTGATCATAAATTAGTCCTAAGTATACTCGATGCAAAACTTTTATTTCCAACACATAATAATTTTTGTGGTTTTTGTTTTGTCTTTAGCGATAAACGCTTGTTGAGAAAATTTGAGACATTCTGAAAGTAATTATGAGTATAATATATTTAATATAGTTTATTAACACATAATTACTTACATTAGGTCTTAATATAAAAGGGTTCGCGGTGGTTCGACCGACAAACTTTGACCTAACATTACCAATTGTTACAAACTTGATCACGATCAACATCCGGTACCACGTCATGGCAGGCATGCCACCACACCATGGCAGAGTCCAGACAAAACTGTCGCAACATCCTCCTCCACCACGTCGTGGCACCTATCTTGCCACGTCGTGGCTACTACACTAGGACAACTTAATGGATTGTTCCCTTAATCCGTAAAGCTCCTTGTTCATACTTTCCAGTAAGCTTTTTGGGACCCTAATGGTCCATAAAAATCCAAACTTTATGGATATGCATGACCCATGCATTTCCTTCACCCCAACTAGGTCAAAATGATGAGAAAATTACCTAAAACTCATACATGGCTCTCAAAACCCATTCAACTTTTAGATCAAGAAGATATAGTGACCAAGGGACCAAGGTGAGCCATAAAGTTGCAAACTTTATCTCATCTCACCAACCCATACTAAAAAATGAGCCAAAACATGCTATAAAACCTAGATCTATGAAGAGAGAACCAAAAAAGGTGGAGACTTGAAGTCTTACAAAGAGTCCAGAAGGTGAACATAAGGAGTAGAGACTAGTTGCTTGATGATCTATGCACAAGAACTCTTTCTTCTTCCTTCCAAGATCACAAAACTACCAAAAATGAATCAAGAAGTACAAAAGGGAGGCTAGGGTTTATCAAAGGTGCTTTGGAGGTGATGGAGGCTAAGAGTGGAGGAAAACCTAACAATCACTTCCTTTAAATAGGTCTTTAAGCCTGGAATTTAGGTTTTGCCAAAAACGAATCACCACGTCGTTGCAAGCATTTAATAAAATACGTGATCCTAGACGAATGCTAAGTCGTGGTGATCCCTTCATCACGTCGTGGCCATCAGAATTCTTACAAATTGGAATATATAAATCATACCTGAAATCCGGGTGGTACACACCGCACCTTATTTTATCTCCTTTTTACTTTTTATGATTTAGCAACGTGTACAATACATTATACTATTGTTTAATTTTTATTAAAAAAATAAATTCTGAGAAAGTGAATGATTACCATTTCTTAAGTTAAGGGAGAATGAAGAAAAAAATGACGGAACGATAAGTTGATACAGTAAAAATAAGTGAACTACATCTCGTCTAAAGTAGGGTTCACAAATATGTATCATAGAAAATCACATGCTAACAACCGAACAAATAATGTTAGTAATCAATATGTTTGTTAGCCAACATGTTTAATTAATAGTACAGTACCATTAGACAATGAGATTTTGTGAGACATAAAGACGCAATTCTACACACTCATTTTGGAGATTAAAAAATATATTCTAAAAAGCAAAATAAATGAAAATTTTCGAAATTTTTTATTTAAATATTATTTTCTTCTCTTTTTTATTAAAGAAAATTAAAAAAATTACAATTTTCTTTACATTATATGGATTTTTTTTTAATTGTTAGAATATTATAATATTTTACTATATATTTCATTATAAATATTCAAATAGAATTGTTAGAATATTTTAATAATCTACTAGAATATTATACGTAAAATTCTGTTAGAATATTTCAGTATATATATACAAAATAATGGTAATTTTTTTTGGATAAATAAGAAATTTTAATTTTTAAACTCAGATTGACATGTACCATTTTCATTCATTACTTTAAAATTTAATCTCATTGTAGAAATTAATATAAAAAAAATTCAATCAAGTTTTTAGTGTCAGCCATTTACAAAACTATCATCCATAAAAGCCTTATTCACATTTTATAATGTTCAAGAGCACATGAAAAATCTTCATTTATAAAACCATATATTTGTTTGTATATATTATTATCAACATAAAACAACCGAACTTATTGTTAACTAAACAAGTTGATACCGATTATATTTGGTATGGTAATCATAACAATTTTTTTATATAAACTATAATTGGTACAACAAATGGTATAAAAAAAATATTTAGTTACTGTATCAATTCCATCCCTAATACAAGTGAAATGTATTACTAATTCCATCCCTAGTACAAGTGAAATGTATTACTATCTGACAAATATTCAAAGTGTTCTTTTACCAAATATAATATGAATCAACAAAATGATAGTAATTTAGTTGATTATTATTGATTATCTAAAATAAAAATGATTATTTTGAAATATTTGATAAAAAGTTGTTATATTAATTTTGAGATAAGAAAAATATATAAATGAAACTTAATATGGATATTAAAAATATATTTATATAAATCATTAGGTTTAATTGGTTGAGCAGACCATTTATTATTATTTCAAATAGAATATTCAAAAATATATTGCTTAAAAACTGAGCCAAAAGAGGGAGAAAAATAGAATAAATTTCAAACTACGCAAAAATCGTGTACTGTTCTTATCTCTCCTTCATCAAACCTCGCAACCGTTCGCCGTCGCGTAACGGCGGCGGGGCTTCCTTTTGTCCTTCTCGTACGTCGATAGTTCCGAGATCCGTAGCAGAACTTCGACCGATATCAGTTACCAGAGTACTGCATTTTGCTATTTTACTTCCTCAGTTGCATCTACTTAAAGGTAATCACTAAAACTCTCGGTAAATTTTCATTCATATGCTCGTACATTACGTCTTTTTGAAGGTTCTTAATCATTGTTGTACTGTATGATGCTATTCGTGATATACTTTGTCGTCACAGTTTCGGTTGATTGCTATGATTTCTATCGCAACTTGTTATATCAATTCCGGATTTCTAGGTTTTTGAACAATGTTACTTTTGTGTTGTTTTTGTTAGAGTTCTCGATGCTTATACTTTTACCTAGAGATGTAATTTTGTAATTCAAGTTCAATTTTGAATATTATCATCTCCTAAATGTGGCACCTACGAATCTAAGATTGCTTGAGTTAGGTTGCAGAGCATCTTCTTGTTAATATAAGCTTGCTGCTTCTCATAGAGGTGAGCATCTGCTTCTTGTCTTACAAAAATTTTCCTAAATTGTGTATAGAACAGAAAGTGATTCCAGTCTCTCACAATTATGCTTGTGGTGTTTAAATTTGATTAATGTGAGTAAAGATGAAGAAAGCTTCAACTTCACTTTTCTGTGTTTGTGGCTTTTGTTATCATTCACAGAAATTAGCAATTTGTATGCTTAGATTGCAATATACATGAGCTGTGTCACTTTCAGTAGGATATATCCTCTTTTTCCTAGTTTAAGCTTCAGTAGATATGAAGAAACTTGCACATGTTTCTGATTTCTTCTTCTCATAGTTTGTGACTACATACTTTTCAATTCACCATTTCCATGTTTCTTCTTTAAATTTCTTCTATCGTATTCATACATGATGTGATATGTGGGAAATTGTGTTCATTGTTTCTAACAGGCTTACAGGATGATTGGATCTTTTCTTACTAGAGCACTTGTGTAAGTTAATCAAAACTTTTTCTTTTTTCAATTGTCACAAAATTTCAATTCACTCTCAGTTTCTCTAATGACAAAAACTACTCAATTAAACACAGAATGGTGTTTGGCTATGCATATCCAGCCTATGAATGCTTCAAATCAGTTGAAAAGAATAAACCTGACATCGATCAACTCCGCTTTTGGTGCCAATACTGGTATTTATTATCATTATCATTATTATTACCATTATGCCACTCAGCATCATGTAATAATATATATATATATATATATATATATATATATATATATATATATATATATATATATATATATATATATATTATATATATCACAATCTTTATCCTTAAAACCCTCATAACATGTTTATTTTCAGGATCTTGGTTGCTGTATTAACTGTTTCTGAACGAATTGGTGACACATTTATTTCATGGTAAAAAAAAAAAAAAAATCAACCTGATAAATTCTTATCTTCACCTTCTTCTTTTTTATTTTTATTTTTATATTTTTATATTTCTTTCATGTTTTGGACTTGTGAAGGGTTCCAATGTATAGTGAAGCAAAGTTGGCGTTTTTCATATACTTGTGGTACCCCAAAACAAAGGTAAACTTTTTTCTTTTTTCTTTTTAAAAAAAAAAAAAAAAACTTTTTTGATATTCATGTTTATATTTGATAATTACAGGGTACAGGATATGTATATGATTCGTTTTTTAGACCATATATTTCAAAGCATGAAAGAGAGATTGACAGGAGTTTAATGGAACTAAGAACAATGGCTGTAGATGCTGCAGTTTTATACTGGCAAAGGGCTGCAAATTATATCCAAACAAAAACTTTTGATATTCTTCAATATGTTGCTTCACAATCAACACCAAAACCTCAACCTGATAATAGTACACGTCAGCATGATTTGAATCTTAAAGCACAAAAGGTAGTAGCTCATGAGGAAACCAAAGAGCCATCATCTCCTGTTGCCAGCTCATCATCATCATCAGGTTCAAATACAGGTACAGATACAGGTGAAACAGAGAAACCGGATGCAGGGCCCACACAAGACCCTCCATTGCCGGATTCTGATGTTTTGACAAAAGAAAAAGAAAGTAAAAAAGAAATTGTGATGGAAGAGGCTAAGGAGAGTGTGAGGGTGACACGTGCTAGGTTAAGGAAAGCAACATCGCTTCAGTGAATGTGGGAGATGATGATAATAATAATAAGTCTTATCTTTTTCTAAATATATACGTTTGGAAAATGGGAGTTGGATATTGATGTATTATTGATGTTAAATGTATTTTCTTTTTTGTTCTCTATTTTCCATAATATCTTGGTTAATGGTCGAAGAGTGAGTTTTAGCCTTTTAGGTTTAAATCTCATAAACTTTAGATGACATGCTGTTAAAAATAAGGGATAATGACTTGATAGGGTAAGATACTTTTTGAAATGTACATATTTAGTCCTTATTTTTTTTTTTTGTAAAATAAACCCTTATACTTTATTAATATGTACACATTAGGTCATTTTCACCGGATTCTACAGGTTTTGCTGACGTGGAAGGGTTTATTTTACAAAAAAAAAAGAATAAGGACTAAATGTGTACATTTCAAAAAGTATTTTACCCTATCAAGTCATTTTCCCTTTCTTTTATTTTGTTGAAATGAAATACTCAGGTGGCATCCACATATCCACAACGAGATTTTTCCAACTTTTATTCATCATGAAAAAGAGGGAGAACCCCGATCTCCGGCTACTCCTTTGTGTGTTCCTACACATCACTGGTAGCAAGGAGGAATGATGGCAAAAACAACAAGGTCGAACGGGGAGGCAGGAGGAAGTAGAGATGGTAGTTGGCGGCGAGGAGCTGCTCTGATAGCCCCCTCGTCGATTCTTTCTTCTTTTTCTGGCAACATATCTCAAAGATGGAGGCAAAGAGAGACAAATCGGAGAAACACAACAGGTAAAGGGTGTTTGGCTGTTGCTGTTCGACCGGAAGGAAGAGAGACGAGAAAGAGAAGGGTCGCCGTGCTTTTCTTGTTGCTGGAGGATCACCCACCTCCGGTGACTAAGCTAATTAATTGCTATTTAGTGCCACTTGTGCTTCCACATCAGCAAAACCTGTAGAATCCGGTGAAAATGACCTAATGTGTACATATTAATAAAGTATAAGGGTTTATTTTACAAAAAAAAAAGAATAAGGACTAAATGTGTACAATTCAAAAAGTATCTTACCCTATCAAGTCATTTTCCCTAAAAGAAAATTCGTATATGACTGGTATACCGGGTATAGCCGGTTATAAGGATTGCATTGTTACAAAAATAAAGTATAAAGGTTTATTTTACAAAAAAAAAAGAATAAGGACTAAATGTATACATTTCAAAAAGTATCTTACCCTATCAAGTCATTATCCCTAAAAATAAATATTAAATGACTTATTGTTTTATTAAAATACAAAAAGTCAAAAGAATAATATTCTCTAACCGCCCATTGCCATGCCTTTTAAGTTGGTTGCACATCACTCGTTGGAATTCAAATTAGTATAACAAGTAAACTTTTGTTAAACATAACTGGACCCATTTTCAGGGTTAAGCCCAAGTCCAAACTCCATACATAGGCCTTAATGGTGTTTGTAGGGTTGTAAAGGGCGAACGAACAAGAATACATGCACTAGTTTAAGTAAAGAGAATAAACGAACGAATATGAACGAATAAACGAACGAATTTTTCTTGTTAATTTTTGTTTGTTTATCAAGTTATCTTGTTAGTTCGTTCATTTATATTCATTAAGATGTTAAAAAAACATAAACAATTATAAACAAGACGCAATAAACACACACAAAATAAACGAACATATATGAAAATAAACAAAAATAAATGAACACAAATGAGCATAAACATCCAAATCAAGAACAATAGAACTTGATGGTCGACACTTCTTATATGTTGCTCATACTTAGTGGTGCATTTTTTTTATTATATTTCTATCAAATCTAAAAGTTTTAAAATTTAACACTTTTAGAAACTCCATTTTCGGTCCTTTTACTGGTTATATAAAATTAAATTTATATATTTAATGTACTATAATAACCGCATATAAACAAACGTTCACGAACATGAATGAAGGAAGAAGACCATTGTTCGTATTTGTTCCTTTAACTAAACGAACAAAACATTGTGTTTATGTTCATTCATCTTTAAATAAACAAACATAAACGAACTTTTTGCCTCACGTTTCACGAAATATTCATTGAACGTTCGGTTCTCTTATAACCTTTGTTTTGGAGTACATGCCAGCGAATGTAACAATAATATATAAGTATAACCTATATGTGGTTGATTAGTTTGGTATCTAGAAAATTACGTATAACTTATAATTAGATTAACTATCCTATATATATCTGATTATTGGCATTGTTGTCTATATAAATGACGATGATGAGGTAAATGACTATTTAGATATTGTTCATTATGTGTATCTACATATTTTTATTCTATATGTTGTCGAACTTTGTGCGTATCATTCAGGTGGCATGGGATCTAATGGAAAGGAATCGACACCTAGAAGCAATCAAGTTCCAACTATAATGGTTTTGCATACCACTATTTTTTAGTATATTAACCATCGTAAAGGTAAAAATGTACTACATGAAATTCGTGCATTTAGGATTGCAAGTGAAGATGTATTGGATAGATATGGTAAAACATCTCTATTTGGGGATAATTATTAATATTCTAAAGGTATATCATAGGAGGAGAACATTGTTGGTGATTCGGTAGATTAAGACATTAGAATTAATGAATAATGACTATAATTATGATGATAGAAAAGCAGGTAATGGTTATATACATATAAATGACTATTAGTTTATGGTTCTCTTGATGCCTAATCGGAAACTTGATATTAAGCTTGGATTACCACTGATGTATGAGCCTATTGCATGCGTATTACTTCAAAAAATATTCAAGGACGAAGGAGTATTGAATCTAACGTTGGGATTTAAACTGCATTGAAGAAGGTTTTCAATATAAGACCATAAAGTCATGCAAAAACATGTTTGAGGCCATATGTCTTTATGAAAACTATGAATATAACGTATTAGGGCAGTCAAAATCGAAGAGCCATACTCTCGACCTGCTAAATCGTACCGCTGAAGAGTCTTTTCCTGGGGTATTGTCACAACCTAGAGTTGGCAAATCCTGACACTATGACCCATATCAAATGGCCAAGATCGATTCCAATTATTCTTTATCGCCCGGTTGTGTGGGAAACTATAATTTAACTAACATCATTCTAATGACATTACTACTATAACCTCTATCAATTTTAGATTCATACATTCAAGAATCATATGCGACTATTGATCATTATAGATGATGCCTATTTGAAAGGCAAGTACTTATACACCATATTTATTATGGCTGTTATGGATGATAGAACAAAATACCCCCTTTAGCATTCTAAGTGGGGAAGATGGAGTCTAGGGACGCTTGGACATGGTGTTTGAGGATGCTCAAAGTTTTACAAACATGATTATAAACGGAAGTACAAAATACCACCAAGAATACAAGTATAATTGGGTGGAAGTTCTTGTAGGAACAACCACAAGGTATAAGAACTTGGAATTATAAAATCTCCAATGAAAAGAAAGGATTACATGGTTATAGATTCGACAATAATGAGCGAGGAGATAAAGGAATGAACAACAACTACTTACTAGAAAGGCTTTATTTATAGTATTGTATAAAGAATCCTAAAGATCCTATATAAAAGGTGTAACGTCCATAAATTTCATGCCAAAATTCAAACTTTTTAAATCATAAATAAAAGTCAAATAGTATTGTTTACAAAATGTTTTCAAATCAATATCCATCAGAGTGTCCCAAAATCATAACATAAGGATGAGGAGCGGTACGGTCACGCCTTCGCCTTGCCACGATCTCCTGAAGTACCTGAAACAATAAACTGAAAACTGTAAGCCCGAGGGCTTAGTGAGCTACCCCCAAAATATCAATACCACACTGACAATACCATATCAGTAACAATCAATCAATCAATCATGCATACTGGGCCATCGGCCTGACTGGTCCGCGCTACCGGGCCCTACAGTCTATCTGAATCTATTCATGCATACTGGGCCATCGGCCTGACTGGACCGCCCTACCGGGCCTACAGTGTAACATCCCGAAATTTAAGTACATCTATTGAACCCTTTCTATTTACCAAACTGTCAAGTTTAGCCCCTAAGTGAAAAGTGTTGCAAACGAGTACGCTGCGCGTACACATGTGCTTATTATGGACGCGGACTCAATTAGGTACGCTGGGCGTACCAAAGTTACGCTGGGCGTAACTGGCTCAGATGCAAAACCCTAAATGAGACTTGAGGACTATAAAATGAATGATATGGCCCTTACCCCAGCCACCATATTACAGAGAGTGAAACCCTAAGAGAGCAAAAACCCGTTATAAGCTTATGTGTGTGTTCTTAAGCTTGAAAGTGTCATTTTGTGATGGTGAAGAAGAAGAGGAGGCCATGGTGGAAGCTAGAAGTTAGAGGGCAAGCTTAGATCCGAGTTCTATAGAGGTTGGAGCTTCACCTGGAGGTAAAAAGCTCAAAGCTTTCCTTGTCATCTTTGATTTGTGCTTTATGGACCCATTTTTTAGGGTTTTTGGTCCCAAGGTGGAGACTTTATGAGCAAAGAGTCTCCATAAGCTTAGATCTGCCCTATTCCAGTGTAATATGTGTTATAGGTTCATAAAAATCCAATCTTGGACGTTGAGATTAAGTCATGCATGAGATTAGGGCTTAATGGGAAAAGAGGATATATGTTTGAAGTGATTGGTGACCTTTACAGCCATGCAAGGGCTTAAAGGTTCCGACTTTATGACTTAAGGGGCAGTAGGGAGCTTAGATCTGAGTTATGAGCCTAGGTCTTAATCTTTTCAGACCAAAAATGAAGAAAGTAGGAAACTGGGACTTACGCTGGGCGTAATCCCAGTACGCGCCGCGTAAGGGTTTGAGACCCCGATTCTGGATCGCTGGAGTACGCCCCGCGTACAAGAGCCGGTACACGCCGCGTACTGCCCCCTGTTGACTTTTGTTGACTTTTAGGGTTTTAGTCAACATTTGGACTTTTGGGTCAAGGAGGGGTAAAATGGTCTTTTACCCTTCTGTGGGATTGTAGAAAGGGATTTAATCTAGCCTTTGAGAGCCATTATTTATTTAAGGATATTGTTTATGTAATTAGGCGGGGGCTAGATCCGTATATCCGTGTGCGAGATTATCC